GCCTTGCTCTTGTGCCATGCGTGGCTCTAAACATGGAGCTTTTGAAGCAGGTACTATTACTTTCCTGAAATTACAAATGAGGAAACAGAGGACTTGAGTATAGAGTGCTTAAGTGTTTGAGGTGACTTGGGTGTTCGGTGACTTAAGTAATTATTATTATTATTATTATTATTATTATTACTATTATTATTATTTGGCAGGGGTTCTCTGTGTAGCTTTGGAACCTGTCCTGGAACTCACTGTGTAGAACAGGCTGGCCTCCTGAGTGCTGTAATCAAAGGCACGAGCCACCACCTCTCCACCTACTTTTTTTTTTTTTTTTTTTTTTTTTTTTTTTTTTGGTCTTACTATATAGCCGTGTCCTGAAACTCATTATGTAGATCAGGCTAGCCCTGAATTCACAGAGGTCCACCTGTATCTGCCTCCTAAGTGCTGGGATTGAAAGTGTGCATCACTATGCCCAGTCCAAAGAATGAAACTGTTTTTAGGATTTCTATTGTCATGATGAGGCACCATGACTAAAGTTAACTTGGGGAGGAAAGGGTTTATTTCATCTTACAACTTGTAGTTCATCATCCAGGGAAGATAGGGCAGGAACTCAAGGCAGGAACTGATGAAGAGGCCCTGGAGGAGTGCTGCTTATTGGTTTGCTCCTCATGCTATGCTCAGCTTAGTGTCTTGTATCACTCAGGATCACCAGTCTAAGAGTGGCACTGCCTGCCGTAAGATGGGGCCTCCCAGATCAAGTATCAGTCAAGTCTTGCCCTCAGGCCAATCTGGTAGAGGCATTTTCTCAATTCAAAAGTAACTCTAGATTATGTCAAGTTAAATACAAACAAACAAACAAAACAAACAACAAACAAACAAACTAGCCAGCACATGGACAACACCATGCTACTATGGGTAGTACCTTGACTTGATAGCTATCATTTATTATTGTTAGAAGGGTTGGGATAACAGCAAATCTTACTGAATCATCTATCAGGTTTGTTATTTGATTGTTTGTTTATTAAGACAAGGTCTCCTTATGCTAGCCAGGCTGGCCTGGAATGACTAACTTCAAGTGATAGGTTCTCCTGCCTTAGCTGCTCCGGCATTTGGACTACAATGTACGCCATGGTGCCTGACTTATGATGATAGAGTCTATATGTTTAGGAATGTGAAGCTTTTGAGTTATCAGCCATTTCAGGTACTGAAAACTGTGTTCACTGCTGTCTATTTATTGAGGCTTGGCAAGGAATAAAGGCTACATCCTTACTTACCCAATTGCAACCCACATTCACACCTTTCTGAGATAAGAACCTTCCTGGAGAGGCCAGAGAGATGGCTCAGTGGTTAAGAGAACCGACTGCTCTTCCAGAGGCCCCAGGTTCAATTGCCAGCACCCACATGGCAGCTCACAACTGTCTGTAACTCCAGTTCCAAGGAACCTGACACTCATGGCAAAACACCAGTGCACATAACAAATGTAAATAGATAAATGAAAGAAAAAAGGTCCTTCCTGGAATGGACTGACCTCAAGCATCATCCTGTCAGTCCTGCAGCTTCTGAGTTAGTAACCTTCCCATACCAGGTACTTCCTCTGGCTCCACAGTTAAAGATTTCACTTCTGGATGGAGTGAGCCTCAGAGGCTTCCCCCCTTCCTATCAGTCCTATGAGTAGAGAGAACTTGCTGCATGGAGAACAAGAGTTTCAGATGCCCAGAAGCAACCAACTCTATCTTGGGAGGCTATCCAGGTGTTTCTTAGTCTCTGGGTTGTGATCTCATATGGCTTGTGTAATTCATTGTGGAGCAGGGGTCAGGAAAAAGTTGGCAATTATAAAAGGTTTCTGATGCCACGCCAGCGCCTTTGACTTGAGAGGCAGAAACAGGCAGATCACTGAGTTTGAGGCCAGCTTGGTCTAGAGAGCGAGTTCTAGTACAGCCAGGGCTACAGACACAGAGAAATCCTGTCTCAAAAAACAAACAAACAAAAATTTTTCTGGACACACACACACACACACACACACACACACACAGACCAAAAATTAATTCATTATCAAACATCATGATCTTAATTGTGTTTCTGGTAGTACTTGCCTGTGATGCATCTTGTGACTTCATTGTACTCTTAGTTTTGAACACACTTGCACTTTGCTCTGTTCATGCTGGCACACCACACAACACCACACAACACCACACCACACCATACAGCACTACACCACAACACCAAGGAACACTGCTTGAAACACAACTGCTCAGATTTGCATTGCAGTGATATAATTTGTCACACAGTGTTCTGCTTTTACAGAAACACAATGATTTAATTATGGAAAACACAGAAAATGTTTTTCTGCCATCATTCCAGCATGTCTTTGGGTTACATTGTGCTAGAATGTTTGGTGTTAAAAATGGCCGTTTGAGTTGCTGACTTGAGTTTTATGAGAAGAAATCATTAAGTGAAGTTTTCACTTGGAACTAGGATAGAAACATTCAGAAACTAGGATAGTTTCTGAAAAGGCCCAAAAGACACTTCTGCCATTTTGTGCTATACCAGTCTCAGGACTAGCAACTATAAAATAAAAAGTGAGAAATATTAAAAATGTCCTATTTCCTGCAGTATTAAACAGCTTAAATTTTTATATACAGTCATAGTCATTTTATTTATTATTACTAGAGAACGATCCTAGGCAAGTATTCTGCCACTGAGCTTTAGTCACAGCCCAAATTGCCTTCAATGAATGACAAAATCCTGTATATACACCCAGGAATTGATTTAAAATCAATTTATCATTATCAGTGTTTGATTTGTACAAATTTTATACACCTATATAGTTAGGGGTTGGGTAACCATTTTTCAGGCAAACAGGGGCCATGAGTGGAAAGTTCAAGAGGCCTTGACATAAGGCTACGCTGTTTTTGCCCAGCTTCTGAGAGGCATGGAGGTCACAGCTCAAGCATAGTTAACACTTTGGAATAGGATACAGTTATTCGAGTAGACTAAAATTTTTTTTTAAATATCATTTTTATTGGGGTGGGAGGGACTTATGTGGAAACCAGAGGGCAACTTATGGAAGTTGGTTCTCTCCTTCCACCATGTTGGGTGTGGAAATGGAGCTCAGTTTGTCAGGCTTGCCCGCAAGGGTCTTTACCTGTTGAGCCATATCGTTATCCACTCTTCTATTTCTTAAAGTGCCTTTGTCCTTTCAACTTTCTGGTAGATCATAGGCCTCTTCATTTTTCTATAACTCTGTCCGTCAACTGTGGATTTAATTTTGACTTTATTTTGCTCTTTAACAAGGTGAGTCACAATGCCTGAGTTTAATATAATTCTGTTGACAAACTTGTACCCAGCCCAGGCTAAGCAAAGTGTTTTACGGGTATTGCCTTACTTAGCTTATCATTAATAAACGTCTATTAGAATCTGTGGGTCGGGTAGGGGCTTCCTGGAATTTGACTTAACATGCGGCCACCCTTTCTTGGAGAGAGGCCGAAGGAAAGAAGGAATAGAGTTGAGCAGCTGGCAGTAGGAAGGGCAAGGCCGCCTCCCTCTTCCTGGCAGCTGTCTTACCAGGCCTGAACTCCTTTTTCCCAAAGGCAGGCAGGGGTCTCCACCTCTGGCCCAGGTCCAGTCGCTGGGAGGGTGGGTAGCTTTTTCCGAGTCACTGACACACCCTCTCCATCTTAGCCACCTGCCCCGGTTCCATCCCAGTTCCAGGCTCCCTGGAGGGACTCAGGGACATTCCAATCCTCCCACTACCCTCTCAGACGCCGCGGGAGGAGGGAAGGGGGCGCAATTGCTTGGCTCTTCTAGAACTCAGCGTTGTCTGTTTTTTTTTTTTTTTTCTTTCAACCCCAAGTATCCTGGATTCACCCGGTAGAGCAAACTAACTATTGATGAAAGGCTTGAAGGCTGGTAGTTTACAACCGATTCTTTGGCAAAGCCGCATCTTCAGCAACAGTGGCACTTTTTGGACACCGTCTACGCTCTTGCAGACAATTGAAAGCCAAACCGCCAAGTTGCCTCCTCACCAGACCAAATATGGTCACAAGCGCTAAGCAGCCTTCCGTGGAAAGTCTGGCCTCGCGGGTGTCTCCCTGCGCCAGGGTGCGCCCCGGCCCGACCTCGGGCAGATCCGCGCCCCGTGCCGCGATCTCGATGCGGGGGCGCTCCCGTCAAGGCGAGGGCACAGCGCCCTGGACCGACCCTTTCTGGCCCCTGGCCCCTCGACAACGACTACGTGCCCTCCGTTATCCTCAGGCTTGGATTTTGTCCATAACCCCTTGATTTAACAAGCTTGAGCCATTTTCTCTTTGATCCCGCCCCAAGTCAGTGGTAAACTCAAAGGAATGCAGATAGAG